AGTTAACTATGCGAAGTGATATGGAACTGTAATACGGTCAAGAGAGCTGCCTGGAACTACATTCGCCGTGCGTTTCCCTGAAAATAATTGCACACCTCAGAACGTTCGTCAGCCAATCAGATTCAAGCATTCAACGGTCCCGTAGTATAAACATAATTAGGTATTACTAAGTCTTGATGTGTCATGCCCCGCTCGTCCGATCCTCCCATGCGCCACATCCCCTCATGGATCATGGATTCCCCGTGTTTACCAGCTGTTTCCTGTTGCTGTCATTAGTTCAATGTACTTAGTCAGCATTTCAGTTTGTTTCCCCAGTCCGGTCATTGATGTTGTGAAGTCTTGACGTGAGTTCTGTTGCCTGTATGTCCCGTAGTTGTTGTTTTCCTTTCAATAAACCCCATATTTCCCTGTAATTTCCCTCCCTGCCTGCTACGCCTGCACCCGGTCATGACAGAATGACCGGACTCCACAAGACTTTGCCTCGTCTATATGAAGAGGAATACCTCAACATTACGGAGAAGGTACTGTACTGGCTTAATCAGCCCGAAGTCCAGGATGATCCCAGGTTGGATCTATCATCAGAAAGTTGAAGGTTCATCACAGTACCCAGAGCCTTACTATAACAGGCCATCCACAAAACTAAGCATCAAAGCAAGATGTCAACTGGTGAGAGAAGGCTACTAAAAATCCACCCGCCACTCTCAGAAGTCTGTAATGCTCTTTGGCTACAACTGGAGCGAATGTGCATGGGTCCACAGTTTCAAGAGCTCTCCGTAAAACAGGCCTGTATGGGAGGGCAGCAAGAAGCCACTCCTTAAGAAGATTCACATAAAAACACGTATGGCATTTGCTGCAAAGCATGAGAAAAACCCAGTTAAGATGTCAGAGAAGGTTTTATAGTCAGATGAGACCAAAATACAAATTTTTCCCAGACTTCAAAGAGGTATGTGTGGTATAAAACTAACACTGCCCATGCCTCTAGAAACACCATACTTATGGTAAAATACGGTGGTGGCAGAATCATGCTATGGGGAATATGCTGGGACTAGGAATCTTGGGACAATAGATGGTCAACAAATACCGCACAATATTGCAGGAGAGCTTGTTCCAGTCTGCTATGAACCTATAGCTTGGGAGAAGATTCATCTTTCCGTCTTTTTGTGACTTTGTAACTAGGCTGGTGAGCACTTGTACAGGGATCTTGGTATTACGTAATTTCATTCATATACTTTTATTTGTATACATACTGAATTTCATTAATAATACTGGATAATGCTAGTAATACTGGATCCTTGATTATAAATTAGGCATATTAAGTTAATACAGTTTAAATAGAAATAAAATAACTTACCGTCATCAGTATTTTAATAGGAACTGAATACCTTATGATTGAGATAGGACTGAAAATTTAAACAGAGCTCATTTTGGATCTTGAAAAAGAAAAATAGGGTTAAGTTAAACTGAAAACTAGAGAAATTACCATTCATCTCCCACGTGAACTTTTCCTTCTGCAAAGCTAAGGTTGGACTGAGTAAAGTATTGATATTTTTGACTCCCATATAGCGATGAGTGAACTCACTTAAATTGCAACTTTTTCTCTCTTCGGATTTCTTGGATTTTGCATGGACTGCATAACGTTGTCATTAGCCAAGATAACTTTGCAATCTTTGCTGAAAGGCTGATTAGCATTCTGGTACCGTAATTTCATTCACTACGCTTGGCCAAGGAAAATGTTTAAATTGCTCAATTGTGAATGTTATGTTCAATTTTGTATGTGACTGTATTACCATTCCTACCAAGCTGGTAATGGGTTTGATACGAGCCTACAAATGCTAAACTTAATAGCATACTGATTAGTTGTCCTTAGGGAAGTAATACTGGGTCCTTGATTATAAATTAGGCTTATTAAGTTAAAACAGCATAAATAGAGATAAAATAACTAGCTGTTATCAGTATTACAATAAGAACTGAATAAAATACGACTGGAAATTTAAACAGAGCTCATTTTGGATCTTGAATAAGTTTAAGTTAAACTGAAAACTACAGAAATTACCATTCCTTCCTCTTCTGAATGGAAAGGGGTGGGATTTAGGTTCATTCAGTGCCTTAAGTTGCATGTGATTTTGTGTGTTCCATGTTAAATGTGTGTGTCTATAAATAATGTTTTGTACCAGTTAATATTTCTATTAAATAAGCTGGCATTTAAACCCAAGCTTCGTCTGTGGTGTGTCATTGTTAGTTACCTGTATATAGCTGCTCCCTGAGCCTAGAGCCTGATCCTATTTATCTAAACATGTAGTAAGTACTACACTGAGTCATGAAATGCACGTGGTGGTAAGCGTCTGTGGGGGGAGTAGTACCTTCCAATGCCCAGAAGGTGGAGTGCCAGCTTTGATTTTACAGACTTGTAATTATGCGTAACATAAATTTAAAGGTAATAACTCCTGGGCTCATACTTTTACTGTTGTATGTACTCCATAGTGTCACTATTTATTACATTTTTTATATTTTTAAGCCAAGCCAATGAAAAAACTCAGCACTGATTCCCTCCAATTGTAGGCTGTTACCATGCCACTTTCCCCAACAATTGAGATCAAACACACAAACTGGAATTATTTATTTGGCAAAATCCATTTCATCCCCAAAATGACTTTCTTTTGTTCAGGAAATGCATTTTGCCCACAAAATGACTTCCCATCACTCACAAAATGCATTTTGTACACAAAATGAATTTATTTAGTTGATAAAATACATTTTGTGAACGAAATGACTTTCTTCTGTTCACAAAATGCAAGGTGCTAATATCAGTTCTGTGCACAAAATAAAGCATTCCTTTTGATTTCTGTGCATGAAGTCTTTATACATCTCTGCACAAAATGTAACTTGAGTTTGTCTTTCTATGGATAAAATGCAGCAAGGCATTACTTGATTCTGTCATTAAATAATGCCTTTTGTGGCACAGAATGTATTTCAAGCATGAAATTGAGCACTGGATAAATTCTGCTCACTGAAATGATTACTAACTTTTTATTATTATTTTGTTTTAAGCAAATTTAATCTTGCGTCATTAAGCATAACATCACTGTAATTATTTGGTTGTGTATATGAGAAAACCATTGATTATTTGTATAAAGTTTCATAAAGCATTCCAGTCTGTTCATTTGATTGTACATGATTTATGATCAATGCAATTAACCTGCATTAGCTCTACCAGGAGAAAAAGAAAACTGTACTACTGAAACAAAAAACTGAAAAAGCAGTTTAGCAAATTGAAACAAATACAGTAAAACAAATACTAAGGGTGTAAATGTGGTTTTAATAACCCAGCAAACGTTATTTTTATGTGGCCAACACGAGTTTGGACAAGTTTCAATGTGTGGCCCATTCACTAAAATGAGTTTGATACCACTGGCCTAGATTTTGTTCTGGCAGCCATTTGTATGTTGATTTACGTGTAGTTTTGAGATCATTATCTTGCTGAAAGGTCCATCCGTAAGTGGCAAGTTTCAACCTTCTGACAGAGGCAGCTAGGTGTTTGGGTAAATCAATCTGGTGTTTTGTGGAATTCATGATGTTTTTGATCTATTCATGGGCCCCTTGCAGCAAAACAGCCCCGAAGCATCAATGATCCTGCACAACATCAGACAGTGGGTACCAGGTACTTTTCTTATGCCGTCCCCTTCATTTGGCAAACATAGTGATGGTATTGCCAAAAAGTTCAATCTTTATCTACAGATTTTTTTTATTCTTATATGGATAGTTTATTTCATGTTTTTCGTTTTACCTCTCTTGAGGGTTGCCAATAATTCTGGAGAATAGGAAGATATTGCCATAAAACTAAAAATAGCAAAACTATAAGTCAGGTACAGTTATGTTTTAAATTAAGCAACTTAAGCAAGTTTTGAATGAAAGTATGGTTTCATACAGGGTCAGCCCTGGGTGTCCTAGTACCCTAGATGAGTTTCTGCTGAGCGTCCACCTCTCCCCCAACTACCACCCAGAGAAGCAGAAAATACATTGTCAGTTAAAAAAAACGGTACCAAACAGGTATCTGACTACTAACTGTTTATTAAATGTCTGTTTCACAAGAAAAAATTAAAATGGTGCAAATGATTGTAATGTCACAGAATTCAAACAGAGGTATTTCTTCTGATTTTTTTTCACTCACTCTTTTGCACCCCCTAATCAAATGGAAACCTAGGTAATCACCTATGTCACCTATAGGGCAGGTCAGTGCTGGTCTTATACATCAAGTAGACCTTAAATGCAATATAATTGAAGGATAAAATTAAGCACCTTGTTGGCCAGGATATCCAGGGTTACCATCCTTCCCACTTTGCCCACACAGTCCTTGACTTCCTGGGTCTCCTTTAGGGCCAATACACCCTTGTATGCCTATTGGACAACAAATTATGGCAACATTATCAATGGATTGCACTGCATGTACAGACAGTAAAACGGTTAGCTGAATTGCCAGAAGGATCAGTACCTCTTAACAGGAACATTTCACGTATTTACCTGAATTACCAGAGTCCCCGTCATCTCCCAAAAGATCAATGCTGACCGTCACCCCGTAAGGTCCAGGGTCCCCTCGCTCCCCAGCAGGTCCTGGGCTGCCTCGACAGCCCTTTGGCCCAGTGCAGCCCATGGTTCCTGCCAGGTGTCACACCATAATACAGTCAACTCTACGATCACTGGCGACCCTCATGAAGTTGAGTTTAACAATAACGTATATTAAGATGAACTTCAAAAGCTATGAGCGGTACTTTGATCTCAAACAAGCCTTATTTTTTTTTAACACAACATAGTTTTTTTTTCCCCAAAGACCATGATTTAGTAATATATTTTTTTATGGAAAATATAGGTTTGACAAATATTTGTTACCCCACTCTTAATATTGAATAAAACCTCTCCTGGCAAGGACAACAGCATTGAGCTCTTTCTATAACTTTAAACTAGGTTGGAGAGCAATTCAAGTTAGATCTTGGGCAACTCTTCCAAATAGAAAGTCTTCCAAAAAGTTTCTGGAGGTGCAGGTGGTGTCAGACAGATTTTGAAATGTTCAAGTCACAAGATTCAAACATATTATGAGCTAAACATTGTGTGTCCTTTTTACCTCTAACTATAAATGGCACTGTGGGTGGTGCCAGTATGCTGATGTGTCCTCTTACAGATAAACTTATACATTTTTTCAATAATTGTCCTGATTGTACTCAGTGGCATTTTTAACTACTACTCAATCTTTATACTGCCACTACCTAATGTGTAAAGGTTAACAACCTGTAATTTCATTTGAGATGAATGCTCTTTCAATTTGCCCACGTTGATGAATGACAAAGGCATTTTGCATCTGTGTGATGTCATATAAGTGTGCCTGAGAAACATGAAATAGTCGTAGAAACCACATGACTTTCTGGACAACAGGAGCAATAAGACAACATATTTTTTCACCAAGGATGCAAATTTCTTTGGTCTTACTTAAGACATTACTCTGCGGAGCCAATAATTTTGCTCCATATGTTCACGAAAGATTTCTTGATTATGAGTTAGGGCTGTCAAAATTAACGGGTTAACGTGGATTAATCCATCATCATGATTAATCTGATTAAAATTAACACAATTAACCCATCTGCAGCGCAGAATGACTCAAAATCCCTGAAATGTCTCTGTCAACCAATTTCAGGCAGTTTTCGTGTGTTCCATTTGCCCTCAGAACTCGTATTCCGAGTCTGATTCTGAGTTTTGGAGCCAGAAATGACGACACGCGTGCTCCTGTTTCTCAGAGAGTAGCACAGAGGATCCCGAGGTCAGAATCCAAGATCGCTGCGCGTTTTATCAACAGAAGGGAAAGTTGTTGTTTTATACTGTTTAAGCACTACTCATTTGTGGCTCATTAAATCGGTCGCACACTGTACCGTCCAACTTATCTGTGGACGTGTTGCTATAGAGTTTTATACGTAAAGCACCGCGCATAATGTCTTATCAACTGATATTGCTAACAATGGCAATTAACCGGGCTAGAATTGGATTTCATGATTAGTCAGATTATTTGTCGGATTTACGGTAGTTCGGGCTAACTATAAGTGAATGAAAATAAAGACCATTAGAACTGAGGTACCTTAAATCTGACAATTTGTCCGGCTAAGCAAAAAATTTTGCTTTTTGATATGGGTCCATGGTATTGCACTTCTGTGGCAAATGGAATGCATCCGACTTGTGTTCAAGATGTTCAATAAATATGTTAAGTGCATATATATTCCCTTTTTTCTTGAGTCTGTTTGAAATGCGATTAACGAAATGTAATTAATATAGATTAAAAATGAATGATATTTAATCGTGATTAATCTAAATTAATCCACAGCAGCCCTGTGATTAATCTGATTAAAAAATTTAATCATTTGACAGCACTATTATGAATATAATGTAATGTTCTTGAAGGAATTATTTTTTAAGATAAATGGTAAGCAATTTTTCTGCACATTTTGAAGGAATTTTTGATTCTTATATGCATTGTTTATGCTAATGTTTTTACCTCAAGGTTGCCAATAATTCTACAGTTGACTCTAATTTCATTCCTGTAATTGGGGCAAGTGTATGTATGTAAGTCAGAATCTGCTTACCGTGGATCAGAACATAATCATAAAGCAATGTTAGCTAAGGCTGTATTTGCAAGACCTCCCCATACCTTTTATTCCAGGATCTCCCGGGGAACCAGGTAAGCCATCAAGCCCTGGATGTCCAGTATTACCTGAGCTTCCAGGTTGGCCTCTGAGCCCTGAGAAAACAGAGGAATGCATTTTCGATATAAGGCCATGACATACGAACTACGATTTTAATACTGTTACTATGGAAAATAAAAGTACAATGAAATGCATTTATGAGGAGCTGAGGTTGGTGAGATAAAAGAAAATCACTGAAAGTGAGATTAGAGAAATTGTGAAAAAAAAGTGAGGCATACAATTGCATCAATGTCCTCAATGCATTAGTTTCCACGGGGTTGTAGTAACAGTAATGAGGTCACCATGGCATTGATAAATCTGTGTTCATTTATAAGATATAGTTATATCTTAAAGACTGCAACTGCTCAAATAATTCACGAAACAGCCATTTTATTAGTACATAGCACTAGGAAGGTCCCATTTTTGCCTCCAGAATAGTATAATAACTGGTCTATTACTGAAGTATGCGAATGCAAAAGGTATGTGAATGCAATGCATTTCAGTCAGTAATTGTTGTCTCTGTATCCAAGCAATTTATGTGCACCAATTCAAATATGCGATAAATGGCAAAATTTAAAAATATGAAATATAAATACTATACAGTTACAATGCAGGTGTAATCTTATCCATAATAATAGTTCCTTAAAGAGTCAAAAAAAGTGACAAAACATTTCTCACATGTAACATGTTTTAAAAATACAATCACTTCCTTTTTTTATTGCAAGCATTTTTCTGTTGCAGGATTCTTTCACAAATGGTCTAGGTAGCATCAGCTCCTAAATAGCGTTAAAAATGAGCAGCCAGCAACAAGTGAGTTTCTAAAATGTTTTTAGCCGCTCATTTTTGGCACGTTTCTATACTCCACCCCATGACCTTAAAAACTAGCTAATTCTTTGACAGGCTACCCAAAGAGAGGAATTCTTAAGCAGATTGTAGAAAATGTATTGTACCCAGTCCATGTGTGAGAAAATCTTGTGACATAAAAATGCTTGTGAAAAAATCATGCCAAATGTCATATGATCCACAAACAGTAAGTCATATTTTGTGCACTTGTTTTTTTTGTGAGAAACTGGTCATTTATATTTGTAAAACACATTGCATTTGTGAGAAAAGTTATAGCTGTATCTTAACTCCGTATTTTCTTATAATACTATTTATATGTATATCCCCATTAACCTGCAATGGATAAAAGTTTGCAAGTAAGATATATATATATGGTATTTTACCGGGGCACCCAGGAAGACCACTTAGGCCTGGAAACCCTTTCAGCCCAATAGGTCCTCTTGAGCCAAGTGATCCATTGAATCCTGGGCATCCTGGTTCCCCAATTGGACCTAGAACACCCTGTCCTGGTTCCCCAGGGCTTCCTTTTACCCCTTTATGTCCTCTTGGCCCTATAAAAGAAGGCACATTACCACTATAAAACTAGCATTAAAGTAACTGCATGAGAAGCCAATTCAATCATAAAAATATTATGTGCAACCTATAGTAACATAGTGCTTTAAATGCATACACTAGTTTTTTTTACAGGCATGGCTGTCAGTTCTGCAGGCGTGGTTCTCACTGCTGAGTACAAAGAATGTAGTATCATGGGGATGCTTTGCTTATGGGAGAGTTCATGATCTTTACCAAATCCCTGGCAACCTCAGCCAACATGACTGTCACAACCCTTCAAAAGCACATCACTCCATTAGTATTATGGCTGATTGGGATGTCCTTCATTCTTTAATAATAATAATAATGACCAAAATATGCCACAAAATATGGAAGAACTAACTGACAAAGAAAGAAAGTAAAGAAAAACTTAAACAATTGTCCTGGCTTGCTTAGTCTGCCAGTCTCAGTCTCATAAAACATCAATGAGATGAACAGGACAAAGGAGTCAAAGCAAAAAGCACCCCAAAGTACCCGATATCTCTGGAGCTGGGAGGGCATTTTGGGAAATTTTGCACTGAAACTTGATAACAGAATGTTACAAAGTTGCAAACCCTTTATCACAATAAATCTTGGCTATTATGAAGCATCCAAGACTACATTTTCTAGAACACTGCTTTGATGCCTCTTCTGTTTTGCTTTGTTTATTGTAATGTGTTTCTTGACAGTTTTTTTAATTTCAATCAGTTGCAGAAAATATATGGTGTAAAACATAAACCCTAGCAAATTTATTCAAACTTTTACTGGTACTGTGTTTGTCTGTCATTCTAAGTGTATAAATTACTGTATTTTGCCTTGACAAAATACTGACATTCAGCCCAAAAGCTACAGAACTTCAGTGTCTGTTTTCTTTAGTCCCTCTCTCACACCTCTCTTCACCTTTTCCAGCAGTAAAAATAAAAATATATTAAAAATATAAAAAATGCCATGCCTGTTTCACCGTTGCGTCCATTATGACCAATACACCCTACAAGGCCCTCAGATCCCTTTGTACATGTCCCTGGATCTCCAGGTGGACCCCAAAACCCATCGCATCCTTTTCTCCCTGGAAACAGAAGAAACCAAGTGGTGAGGTACAGTATACATGTAAGCCTAGGATCACTGGGTTTACCCCCAGACCAGAGTGCAGTGTGTCCATGCTTATTAGTGTACGTGGAGCTATACCCTGTTCACCACACTCTCCATCGCGGCCAAAATATCCAGGAGAACCCAGCACACCTCGCTTCCCAAAGTCACCTGCAGGCCCAGGACTGCCATCATCCCCTGATGGGCCCTGCCGACCAGGGGACCCTTGTGGTCCTACATTACATTTTCCCTGTCAACATAAACATTGTTTTCATTAGAGATGGCAATTTCGGCACCCAGGATCGATCCGTTCCGAAGACATCCGAAAGTTCTGGTCTCGATACGGAGTTTACGAAAAATTTCGAAACAGTCACGTGACCGCCGTGTCATTGTTCACGGCAAGAGAAAAAAAACTATTAAAAAACCCCCGGAAAAAAACGGGGCTTGTTGGTTTGAGCGATCATTATTATTTGAAATCCAATTGTATTAGTGAAACAGGTTAGCAGTTAGTGTGATATAGGCATAAATATAGTGAGGGACATGTAGTAGGTATAATATCAAGGTTTTGCTTAGATTCAGTTAGAAACATAAATCCAAAAGCTAAAGTATGCATAGACACATAGATTACATATACATATATTAACATTGCTAACATAGACAAAGATTGTTATCTGAAACTGCGTTTTTGCACTATTCTATTCTATACAAATTAATTAAAACTAAACCATTACTATAACCTGCTCAACATACACAAACCTAGATAGCATGAGTATTCTAACCTCGGTAACTAATTAATTACTATGCACACTCAATACTCGGATGGTATGCAAATACAGAAATTATGTTTTAACAATACATAACCATGGGAACAAAAAATCTCTATAAATGATATACTGTAAGACCCAGTTTAGGTTTTTATTGACTGGGGGAAATTCTGGTGCATACAAATAATCAATACTTTATTGATCCCCGTGGGGAAATTGACTTTACGCCTCCCTCAACTCTTTGAGATATGATCATTTGTTTTATGCAATGTTAATTTGACTTGCCCTATTCGGCCACCGTAGTATTATGCACATTTTTGACAGTTCGAGCTTCATGACATTTGAAACTTGCCACAATAGGTATTGCCATATTTGTATAGCTGCAGTTCCGGTTTTTGCCAGCAGGCTGTGCACAGCTAGTGTTTCGAAACGTTTCGAACCGTTTCGAAACATTGTTTGTCTCAAATGTTTCGAAATTGTTTCGATGATTCAAAATTGCCATCTCTAGTTTTCATTGAAGATTAAAAGCATAAACAGTGACTAAGTATCAAGTCCTTTCATCTAACCTTTAGCCCTGTCATCCCTGGGGACCCATTCAGTCCCACTCGTCCTGGGAGACCCATGCTTCTTACACCTGGAATGCCTGGTTGGCCTTTATCACCTATGAAAGGCAATGTGTGACTGTCACTACATCAAAGCAACCAATATTTCATAGAGATCCATCTTACTAAATGAAAAATTCAGCTAGTACCATTCACCTTTGGTACCAGTAAGTCCAATTGGACCTGGATGAGATGGTCCTTTTTCTCCCTTGTTGCCACAGGGACCAGTATGACCTCTGTAACCACTGCTCCCAGGATCTCCTGAAGAGTAACAAACACCTAGGTGAAAACAAGTTCATTTTCTCCCACAGGCAAATTTTTACCACAAAGACAAGTCAAGTCATTTGATACATCTGGAAATTGCACCTAAGGATGAGCCACATTTGATTTGATTTTTCCTGATGTCTTGGTTGATTTCTCTTGATTTTCCCATGATGTCAAAGAAAGCGGCTCTGTGTTTGAGGTGTGCCACCAATTAACTCAAATGGAATCAATTAACCTATAAGAAGCTTCTTCAGCTCAGAATGGAATCATCTGTTTTCTTTTTGTTCAGACACAATAAACTTGTATATGTATACTTCTCACTTTGCTGAAAGTGAAAAAAAATACATAATAATTCTGACATTTAACAAATGCAAAAAATCTGTTAATATTTATTGATCTAAAGCAGAAAAAGTTTACTCTGATTTAATGTTCGACCTTAAAGAAAAAAAAGCTTTTGTGTTTTTTTTCTGAAGTGTATGTAGATATCTGGTTTCAAATGTATATAGAGCACAGTTTAAAAGCACCAAGTGATTGATCAAAGTGCTTTACGCAATAAAAAATAAAACATACAGATGTCAGATCACACACACGCATACGACAGGCCTGATATTCCAGGACCTTGGCATGCAACCCCCTCCTCGGCTATCCTGCCGTACCTTCCACGGATTCACCCAACACCCTAAAAGAAAGTTTCTTTTAAGTTTGGCTTTTGTATACCCTGTATATTGATTTACTCATGACTACTAGTCCAGATAGGTTATGTTTGTGTGTGTCCTTAGACAATCTTAGTGCTTTGTGTGCCACCGTTATAATCGTGTTTCACAGAGTATCACCTATTTTACCCCTCACACTTGAACACTTATATAAATTTAAATAAATAAATATGTATAGCTACCACTGCATATATGTTCTAATGGTTATCCCAGAAGAACCTTGCAAATAAAATAGTGTAACCAGCTATCTTAGTGTGTCCTAACTATCAGAGGTTCTTTCTTTGTTTAACAACTCCCCCTTTTCTTCCACATTCCTCTGTGGCCCTTATCTGATCTTTGTGGACCATTAGCATTTCTTTGTCCTACTATTCTGCATTAAAAGAACTGAATTAATGTGTACATTATCAATTCTGAAGAGAAGATCAATTAGGATAAGCCACACCAACCAAAATATGTTGTCCTCAGATGTGCAATTTAAATTGGTATTGCCACAAACTAACGGCCAAACCTATCTAAGGGTAAGATGTGCTGTTCGAATGTGAATATGTAATGTAATGTCTGTACAATTTATCCAAAGTGTAACATCTGTTGAGGTGCAACCCAAGACACCTATACCATATACTGATGTGAGTCAGTAACATACACCATGTAAGGAATTGTTAATTAATTAATACAAATGGTATGAGGTATGAACCTCCAGGCTGGTATGGCATGTTTGGTGTTAAACTGATGGAAGTTATCATGAAACTGTATGTATCAAAAGTTTTTTTCCAGTTTAATGAAAATCATCAGTAAAGGGGAATCAGTCTGGTCATAAATACCAAAAGGACTGCCACAGACAACCCTCCAAAAGCCCGCCAACTAGATGATCAGCCATTGGTTCAGGTGTCGAATTCCTGGTCATCCCTATTCATGAACTTTAGACCATAAAACCTGGCACCTCAGAACAAAGCCTCAGGAGAAATGAGAGCCCAAGGAAGAGAACATCAGCCCCACAGAAGGAGGAGAAGAGAAGCCCGCAAGAATCCCTCCTGAAGCCTGCCGGGGAAGGCCTGCTACCCAACAGAGAACTGCAACCAAGACCAAGCATTTCACCTTAAAGCTTCACAAGGAGAGAGAATCCAAGGGGCTCTACTCCAACAACCGCTCCAAACGCCGTGCCTTCCTGAGTGCCATCATCCCGTCACCTCATCCCTCTGCAACTAACTCCCAAGACTCCCCCCCCCCCCCCCCACTCTGCAACCAAGTAAGCCAACTTCCTTTCATTATAACAACCTAAGTTGTTCTATTAACCTGTTATATGACTTTAGGGTCATGTTTCCACAGACTATGCTTGCTTTGCAGAACAGTATTTCCCTTTTAAGGTTACCCATTTAAATCTGGTCATTGCATTTCCATAATTACATTCTGTGTTTGTTTCTATTCCATTATTTCATGTTTGTTGTTTATGTTAAGTGTAATGTCCATCTTATGTTATTTGTAGTGTTAGTTAGGAATAAATGCATGTCTTTTACACAACTTCAGCCTCCGTTCATTGAGTGCTCACAATAGTCTGTGCGATCGCTTCTGTGTGATCTGGTTAATATGCTCTGAAACCTCAAACTCACCTGAAATATCGCGAGACTTCTTCTCGACGGCCGTGAGGGGAGCTTCACTACCAATTGTTTACATTACCTGGTGATGCAGCTCGCTGGACGAGCATTCAAACACAGGTTACTAAGCGATACTGGTAATTAATGAATCCCATTTAATTCTCACACAAACAGACTCATGGGGATTCGCAATCGAGTTTGGAGGAACCAACCATTCAGCATAACAATTAGTTAATAATCATCATTAAATAATAATTAATTGAAATTTTATTAATTTCATAACATATTGGTGGAGATATTAAAATTTACCTGAACTAAATATTCCTACACAAAAATTCACAGGTAACAAAGTGTCATGGCATTCAGGATGATGGACTCAAAGGGGGTTTTATTTAACTGAATGGGAGCAGGGAAACAAACGAGACTGAAAGGTGTCAAAACAGAAACCACACAAGACCAGAGGGGCTGAGCCCCGGACCAGGTCATTACAGGACAGAACCAGACAGGACAGGACACACGGCAATACAGGCATGGAACAGACAGGGGACAGACCAGGGACTAAAAGGACAACAGGAAATAGCAACACCGAACAGGACCAAAAACAGACCGAAGACAGAACCAGGCATCAGGGAGAACAGACCAGGGACCAGGGGAACAAATGCCAGACATTAACTACTGAGCAACTGAGCAGGAGAGACGGCGACCAAGACAAACTGAAAATACCACACCTAGGAACAACAGTTGGACAAGACCCAGGATATAGGACAAGAAAAATGACAACAATAAGGGCACAGAACAGACCAAGGCAAAACCAAGGATAGCAAAAAGGACACCCAACCTGACACACACCAGGACAAGCCGGACAGGTAGAGCAACCATGGTGACAGGGATAGAAACACAGGGTGGGGCCAGAGGGGGCAGAAGCCAGGACAAAATCAAGGCGGGACAAGGAACCGAGACATGGATCAAAGTATGACTGGAGGTCTAGAAAGTCTCCCAGAGCTGGGCACTGATCGTGATATATGGACCCTCCTGAGCCCTATCATCGGCAAGGTGGGGTCTGGCAGGACTGTAGGACCCAAGAGCTTCAGTTGAACCATAGGGCCAGAGGGCACCGAGGGGCTAGCAGGGTCAGAGGGTGCTGAGGGGACAGCAGGGCAGGAGGATGCCGGGGGAACTGTCCTCTTCCCTTGGCCTCAGCAGGAGGGTTGTCCAGGCCAACACCATTGACCACAATGCACTTAGGACTGGGTCAGTGTGGACTTTGTGCTGAGACGGGGGCCCATGGAGCAGGACTTAGGGCAATGCCAGAGGGTCCCACTCTAAGTTCTCCGGTGGAGCATCTTCCAGGTTAACCCAACCCAGCCTGGCATGGAATGCGAAAACCGCTTGCAGGGAGCCAGGAGTCTGCGAGGAGGCCACCAAGGTGACAACAGGAGATGGGTTCAGGCAGGACACACGGAGATGAGGTGGGTGCTAGAGGGACATAGGGAAACGAAGCAGGAGCTGACAGGATGGCAAGAGATGTAGCAGGGGCTGACAAGACAGCGGGAGATGAGCAGGGCACAGTTGGGACACCTGGAGGCAAGCAGGGCAAAGCCAGGACACCTGGCATGACCACTCGGGTTCCCTGCGGGATGGCACAGCTGTTGCAAGACCTGGTGCAGGTGATGTTGCCCGGAGGCAGGGACTGGGGTGGAGTAGCCTACTCTAGGCTGGGAGCCTGAAATGCGGGTGGAGTGGTCTTCTCTGGGCCAAGGGTCCGGAGCATGGGGGGAGCAGTGCTCTCCGGGCTGGGTGCAGGAGAGGCAAGGACGGACTTGGGAGGCATAGCAGTGGTGAGGACAGTGGTGAGGGCTCTGGAGCGGACCCCTATCAGCTTGACTCTAGTGGTTTTGGACAAGCAATGACCCCTTCCAGGCTGACCTCTGGAGGCTCGAGTGTGGCAGCAGCCTCCCCGTGGTAGGGTTCTGGAGGCACCTTAGATAAACGAGGTGGCAGTCACAGGCACAGCAGGCTTCCTTAAGTTCTGCCTCCCGTGGCTGGAGACAGTGGGTGAATCTGCTGCTTGCTATAGGGAGCCGGAGAGTGGAGCTGTGGCTAGATGCAGGGAGCCAGCGGGTGGAGCTGTGGCTTCATGCTGCAGAGAGACAGTGGGTGGAGCAGCTTCATACTGCAGAGAGGCAATGCGCTGAGCAGCTTCAGGTAGCAAAAAGGCAGCAGGCTGTACTGTGGTGAGCAAAGTGGCTTCACAATGCTCAATGCTGCAGAGCAACGAGCAGAGAGGAACCGGTGGCCTCTGTGGCAGGCTTACCATTAGTGACGGGTGGCGGGAAACTGGCGAGCTCTGTCTCAATGGTGGGCTCCACCTCAGCATGGAGCGGTGCGCTCACCTCTTCACGGAGGACCCCAAGGACCTCCCATATCACTGTCACCTCTTTGACCTCTGAATCTGGTGAGAGGGCTTCTGTATGCCCCCTGCAACTCCTGGAGATGGGCCAATCCACCGTGACTTCTGCTAGCTAAGCCAGGTTTACATGAAACAGCAGGTTGTGGTCAGTAGTAAGGACCCGGGGTATCCTCCACATCTGTCCTGGGGGTGGTCGGAGGGTTGTTGATGCTGGGAGCCAGGCGTCCCATCCTATGGGTTCCTATACTCGGGGAATGCGGTCAACCAGTGCTAGGGCGCCTTGAGGGAAGAGCTGGGTTGATTGTGTCACTTCATGCAAGTCGAAGGACTCAAAGGCAAGCGTTTCGCGAAAAAGGAGTTTTATTTAACTGAACGGGAGCAGGGAAACAAATGAGACCACGAGGGATCACAAGAAGAAAGCTAGTATAGGGAAGGACACAGGGAGACAGGAGGAGCAACATCAATGACCGGACTGGGAATGAGGAGACAAACAGGTACTCAAAATACAAAGACTAATGAGGGGCAACAAGCAACAGGCATGGCTTATCACAGCCACGTTAGGGAGGAGATAGGAGGGTCAGGCGGACATAATGGGCAGGACATAACACATAGAGACTAAAAGATCATATACATACACCTCTATGGCACCTAAAAAGTCTGAGAAAAACAAGTTGGTCTTTAGCCTGGATGTAAAACATTCAATAGTGGGGTCTGATCAAACATTAAGAGGGAAGCAGTTGTACAACTTGGGCCCATCCACATAGAAAGCATGGTCTCCTTTACACCTCAATTATAGTTTTGGACAGAAAGCAGCAGCTTATTGGATAACCTCAGTGCTGTAGGAGGACAGAAGGGATGTATGAGGTGACTGAAATTAGCTGGAGATAAAACAGTAAAATGTCACTGGTAAGCAATGTTTCAAAGGTAATATGACATGATTTCTTAGATTTTGTTAACAGACATTTTGCACAAGCTGAAGACTAGACAGAGTAGTCAGATTAACCCTGAGATATACAGTACATTACAGTTATCCAGGTGGTAAGAAATAAAAGCAAGGGTTCCCAAAAAGAAAACATGTGCTTGACTTTGTTTAAAACTCTAAGATGACAAAAAGAAGCCTTAATAACAGCATGCATTGGTCAAATCTAAGATCAGTGTCAAATAAAATGCCAAGATTTTTAATGTAGTGTTTGATATAACTGGAGAGTGGCCCAAGGTTGCAGATTACATTCATAACAGCATCCAGATATCCAAAGATCAAAATTTCCCACTCATGTTTAGTTTTAAGAAGCAGCTAGCCATCCAGTGCTTGATGTCATTTAGGCAGTTGAACAGACATTTCACTGCACCAGGGTAGCCAGGTCTCAAAGGGAGTCAGAGTTGCGTTTAGTCAGCATAACAGTGGTAGGATACTCTGTGCTTTTTATAATATGGCTTGGGGGTAACATGTACAATGAAAATAAAATACAGATAAGGACTTATCCTTGTGGTACACCAGGGGTCTCCAACTCTGGCCCTGGAGAGTTACTCTCCAGGCATTTACCTGAGAACAGGTGTGGCTCATCAGAAGCCAGGTAGGATAGAAAACTACTAGACAGCAGCTCTCCAGGACCGGAGCTACTGTGGTACAGCATATAAGAAACGGCAGGGTCAGACGATAATCCTTTAAAATACAGTGTTGTGCAAAAGTCAAGGGACATATTTAAAGCTGTTTATCTGGGAGTAAATTTGGGGAGAACTAAAAATTTAAGATTAGAACATATGCAAATTAAGAGTAACAATAAAAACTAAGAGGAATTTCTTCTCTTTGGAATGTCACTGATATCTTGCTAGATAGCTAGAGAAACACCTCTTCACTTCCCAAATCTCTCCTTAGTGCCACCTCAGCCATTTAATGTATCATTGAATTTCATCACAAGCTCAGTTAATTAATTAGTTTTAAAAAGTCAGTAAATACATTACCCTTATGAGGGGTTCTTGTGAACGAGTCAAAAATACAAGTGTGTACTGGGTGTTTGCTCCAAACACTGGAATAACTTTAGGAGAGGTTTTACAATAGCTAAGCTAAAACACTTTTGTGGACATAAATTCACAATTTTACACCAACGCGAAGACCACTTAAATGTCATTTTCTTTGACTGCCTAACACATTTTCACAGTACTGTGCATTTGTCATCCCAAACTGTTCAAAATAAACTATTTATCACACTTCCCATGGAGGATGCCGCCTTTCGTACAAGAGAACAGTTCCATTGTGCAGAACACACATATCTCTTGTTGCTTACCTAGCTGCCCTGGGCATCCTTGTTTTCCATTTTCTCCTGTAGGGCCCCTATCTCCAGGAGTTGCCTTTATTCTGCCTTCAGACCCCTTCTCCCCTACAGGTCATAGGGTAAATTGTGCAAGCACAGGTCATGAATAAAGAGAGAAGTTACTGACTCTTTCAGTGCCTATAAGCAAGATGAAAAACTGAGAGAGGTATTAAATTATGGTCACTCTAAGCAGAAAGTTAAGTAATAAGTCTTCATAGAATGTGCTAGACATATTTGAAAAAAGTTTTGTGGTATAATATATTCCATTATACTTTAGACTGTAGTGTACTTTATTATGTCTTAGTAATTAGGGTTACAGTATTGTATCAAGAAAATACCTGGCTCTCCAGGTCTCCCTCGAAGACCTTCAACACCTTGGATTCCCTTCTGTCCTTTGAATCCTGGTGTCCCATAGCCAAGTGAACCCTGCACCCCCTTTCTTCCTTGAGGTCCATGTGTTCCAGGAAACCCCAAGGGGCCTGGCTCTCCTTTTAGGCCTGGAGGTCCCTGTATTGAATATATTTAGCTAGTGCAGTTTAAATTTGGCTTAAAACACAGATATAATATTTAATGAAGATTTAATGAATGAAGCTGCGCAATGTTTTTGTGAGTGTCACAAAGTAAGGGGTACGTTTGTTGTTATGAACCATTGTATTCAACTATTATTTATTTATATAATGGGCTTTATGGCAGTCCAGTTTTAAGTATGAGTCATCTGTAAGTCAAACATTCTTAACCTGGGGACTTACTGTATTATTATAGTATTGATTTGGTATTGATATCAAGGTACCAAGGCTGGCCAAGTCAAAAATTGGTTATCGGTTCCAGTCCACTCTAGCTTACAAACAAATATTTTCAAAGCAAACATACCCACTGTGGGTTTATTGTGGGCAATGTGGGCAGGGGCAACCTACACTATACTACCAGTCAAACGTTCTTGCACACCACAAGTTTTTACCACTTTTCCATTTATTTCATAAACTGTAGATTTAAAAATTCTTTTTAAGCATTGGAAAGTTTAGTGAACAATTATAAATGAAAATATAAGTCAAATAAAACAAGTTTTATTAACTGGTTGTGTGGTGATGGCATAATCAAACTTTAGGCTGTCCTTTAACTTTAAATGCACTAGTTAATTGTTTCATCCCATGAAACAGAGCAATATTTAATGTCCCTTGTAGAAAGAATGCCTTGAATTTTCTCTGCTGTTATAACTGTTAGAGGAGGTTACTATGATGAATGAAAGATATGACATTTTCTTGCTAGTAAAGATACTCAAATGGTGAACTTACTGTAAATGTATTTGTTAGCAAAGAATATTGGGTGTATTTTTAGTAAATGTTAAGTGAGAAAATGTAATGTGGAAAATCTTAATATGTGCAAAAACTTTTGACTGGTAGTATATGATGATGACTATTGATGTTTGTAAAGAAAAAAAATAATGTTACAATCTATTATTTAAATTAAAGTACTACACAACTATAATGGCTTGCCTATTTATATTTAAACTAATTGCATCTATAACTGCCCACTTTATAATCATATGCTACAATACAATCTATGCATTTTTACTCTGGGTTGCCTGTAAGATGCAGAACTAAGTAAATGAATATGTAAAAAAAATATGTTTAGAATTAAAACAAATTGTTTACATGTCAAATGACAAAATAGCATAAAATATTTTATTGAGGTTTTGGAATATATGTTGAAGGAGTATGACACAATGCAATGCATAGTGCAATAATATCTTTCTTAATAAGATCTACTGCAGTAGGTGGCAGTGGGGTTCAAGTGGACTTTGTGTAGGTAAGAACATAAGAACACAAGAAATTTACAAACAAGAGGAGGCCATTCAGGCCAGCAAGCTCATTTGTGGAGAATTCAACTAATAGCAAAAAGTTAAAATCTTATCTGGCTCAGATTTAAAGGAACCCAATGTTTTAGCTTGCAGAACACTAACAGGATACTCCATACTCGAACTACATGCTATATAAAGAAGTGCTTTCTCAAATCCGGTTTAAAATGTCCTCTTGCTAATTACCACCTATGGCCTCAAGTTCTTGTATTTGAAGTAATATTGAAGTAAATATTTGGTTGACCAGCATCCTGACCTAATATAATCTTAAATACCTCGATCATGTCCCCCCTTAGTCTCCTTTGCTTGAGGCCGAACAGATTCAGCTCAGCTAACTTCTCCTCATAAGACATTCCTCTAAGACCAAGAATCATTCTTGCAACCCTATGTTGAACCTTTTCTAAGGCAGCAATGTCCTTTTTAAGGTAAGGTGACCAAACCTGCACACAATATTCTAGGTGGGGTCTTACCAAGGAATTGTACAATCTTACCATCACCTCCCTTGACTTAAACTCCATACACCTTTTAATCATTTCCCAACACTGGCAGGAGTGGGAAATGGAAGCACCAACATACACACCAAGGTCTTTCCTATAATCAGCTACCTTTATTTCAGTGGACCCATAAAATATCTATACTTTATATTTCTGCTCCCTGCATGGATTACCTTACATTTGTCTACATTAAATTTCATCTGCCAGGTATCAGCCCAGTCACTAATTAAATCAAGGTCCCGCTGTAGCATCTTTGCAGTTTGTTCAGTATTTACTACATCATCCACCTTGGTGTTGTCTGCAAATTTAACCAGTTTATATCTTAGTGTCAATATTATTAATGTACATTAGGAATAATAGTAGTCTTAATATTGACCCTTGGGGTACCCCACTATGAATGCAGACCCACTGTGACATTGTGCTTCTAATAACTACCTGCTTCCTGTCAGTTAACCAGTTTGCAATCTAAGCTGTTACAGTTCCTAAAATACCTGCTGCTCTGAGCTTAAGCAGAAACCATTTGTGGGGGACAACATCAAAGGTCTTCTGGGAAGCTAAGCAGATCACATCACATCATTGGTGGATTACTAATATCCCCTTTTTTGAATATGGGTTAGGGTGCATCAAACCCCCCAAGTGAAAAATATTTTCATGGCTATATAAAAAAAATGTTCTATCTG